AAGTGATCCTAACGAAATACAATAAGCAACACTGACACTGGGAAATCCTAAAGTAATCCACAGGCCATTTTCCATAAAAATCAATAGTTTATTGCCATGCTACCTTTTTTCTTTTTTTTCCAAATGAAGTTGGCACTGGTAAAGGGGAAAATGTTGTCATAATACAGATACATGTAAAAATGTGCATTTGGTAAGCTTCCTCAGTAATGACAGCTTCAGACAAGTGAAATTAATTTCTTTTTAAGATAAATGTGGAATGGCATAAAAATACACTCTTTTCTGCATAGTATAATATTACTTTTTTCATAAAAGAAATACGGAATGTTTGTAAAAGCAAATTCACTGAACAGGGCAAGTTAATTGAAATTTTATAAACAATTTGGCAATGGTACTCCCACTGTTTAGACTTTTTTATATAAAAGAAATAAAAATCTAGAAAGCTACCTTTATACAAAGTTGCTATATTTATGCCTTTAAGTAGGAAAAAACATTTTATAATGCAAATTAGGACATACAATAATCTTACAATATCATACAATGTAATGACAAGAAAAGAACATACAACATAAGATTTTGGCCTTTGTAGAAGTGTCTATTTCTGCATTTAATAAATGCATTTGTGGCACGCTGGTGACTATTGTATTCTCACTACTACCAGTCAGCTTTTGTGCGAGCGCAGTATCCAACTGTAATGGCAGGTCTGCAGTTGAGTTTAAAACACAGCCTGTTTGTCAGGAGGTGAAAGGTGATGACATTGCAGCAAAGCGAGATGCGAAAAAGGCAACAGGCCTGCTGGTTCAGACATCTGTATTGCGGGACACCAGACAACACTCTTTCCTTTCATACCAGAGCATTTCTTATACATTCAGTTATTAAGTACCAAAGTGTTACAAGTGAGAACACCTGTGTTTGAGATTTGGCAAAATTTCAGGAAAAATACAAAGTTAGTACCAAACATATAACATATTATATATAAAATGTGGGTGTATGACATACACATTCTAATGCAAAAAAACTGCATTAATATGGAGTTAGATGTGCTGACATCCATTCCTAACTAATACAACCATTACAAAACAGGTGTAATCCTGATCTTTCACGCACTTCAGAATCACTTCCTCTTTCATACATAATAGTTAAAGCAATATATATGCAAGTATGACTAAGAAATCAAAATTCACATAATAATCTGAACTCTGACCACAACAAATAGGATTTTTTTTTCAGTACTTGTTATTAAATATATTTATATTTTTACAGTATTTTTAGACCTTTCCTGAAGAACTTGACCAACCAGGTCTTCAGGTGTAACAGAGCTGTTACGTCAGCAGAACTTGATCTTGCAGGAGCACGTCCAGTGGCCCTTGAAGTCAATGCAAATCACGTGTTTGGCTTCAAAGGACACTGCATGAGGCCTGACCAAGCTCCAGAAGGATTACCCTGCAAACAAGGAAGATTCCCTGATGACATCAAAGCTCCTACCTCAGACTTCCTTTCCTACTGCCAAAGGGAAGGACTGAAGCAGAGACATGGACTCTGGGCATTCTGGTTGGCAGGTGGTGTTGGGCATGACCACGTACAGCACAGCCCCAGTGTGCGGCAAGGTGAGTTTCACGGCACCTTTTGTACCAAGGCTTCTCGTGGAAGGCAGAAGAGCCGCTCCTCCACACTCACTGCTTGGCAATTAGGTCACCAGGGGTCTCAGATGTGAGCTGTGGCTGTGACACCAAGGCATGAAGTACTTTGCAGACACAGAGGAAGACAGTCCCTGTTCTGAAGGGCTTGAGCCTATTTCTTAATCATCTTTTTTACATAAACTCCTTTGTATATACACATATTCGCTACATAAAGTAGAATTACACCAAAGTAATGGATATAGCAGAAAACATTGTCACAATATATGTATGTAACCACACTAAATAATTATTAAAACTGCAAGAAAATTTTCAAAATGCCCGTTGTAGTATCTAAAAATATAGAAATGTCCAACACTTGTTTCATCAACTTTGAAGGTAACTTCATCTCTCATATTCTATCTGTACACCTACATATTTCAAAACAAAACACCGCGTTAATCTGGAGTAAACACCATGTTTTAATGGCTAATATCCTAATAAGACATCTGAAAGACTTAGTCACATACCTTACAGCATGGTATCACAAGACATAATGTATACATGGTCAGAGTTACAGCTGCTAAGCTGAGGGGTTTTTTCCTCCTTATTCACTTATCTTGTCCTGAAGAGGAAGTAATTCCTAAAGATTGCGAAAAGAACCTTAACTGGTGACTTAACTGGTGACTTTCCCATCTTTTTTGTATATGCTCTACAAGAAGGACATCAGGAACCTTGACTCCATCTTAACGCAGTTTTTTGTGGTGGAATTTCTTCTGACTTTTTTTGGAGTGTATATGAATTTAAAATAAAGACATCATAAATGAACTTACGTTTATATTAAGTAAATACTGTCAAATATAAATGCCTGAATTGCTACCTCAGGGAAAAGATGGGAAAGATCGTACTAAATTCCAAAAATACCTAATTCTATCTATCACTGAAGAACCGAACTTCTTCAGGGGAAATGGGAGAAATTCAGATTTAAGTCCACAATTAGTTCCTACTAAATCAGCTTCATCTTATTTGTAGCCATTAAATAAATTAGTACAGTGTAGAAATGGAATTTCACCACTGATCCCACCTTACATGTAAAATACTGTTTAGAAATAGAGGTCCAAATCAGATACATCATTACACGCTTAAAGAAGTAACTGACATTAATCAGAACTCGCATTTTTGCATCACCAACAGTGAGTAAAGACAATCTGCTCTCTCCTGATCCTGTCTCAATGAGAAGTGGTTAAGTATAAAACAAAAGCAAGGACAGCCAGATTTTGAGTCAATACACACAGTTATAAAACCAGCAAAATCAACTGCTGGTCTGTCACCTACAGAAGAGCAGCCCTTTTTTGACACTGGCTCAGACTCCATACAGTTTGCACCTTTTTGTGGCCCTTTTTACACCCAAATCCTGGTCAGAGGGGTAAAACACACAAATATCCAAACATCTCAGGGAGAAGGGAAATTAAGCAGTTTATGATATGAAAGGTATTTTTGAACACTTAACATTTCTATAAGATTTCTGTAGACTTTTAGTAGGAACGGGATTAGTGCTTTCCCTTGGAAACTTACTTATCCAAGGAAACATTCTCTAATGAGAATTAAGGTTTTCAGAATGGTCTGGTTTATATTTTTTTATGGAATCACCAAGAAACACCACAAAATTTTTAAAAACTGGTCCTTCTCTTGACATCAATTTGGGAAAAAAATACTTTCCTGACATAATCAATGGATTAAATTCTCACTAACTGTATTTCTAATACAATCTTTATTATGTACTTTTGGTCACTGTTTCATCTTTGTCAACTCAGTTTTTTCTTTGTTTAAGAGATACTCTAATGTATGTCTTTCCCAAATCACTGCATTAAAGGAATACCTACAGTTAAAGGCTTTCCCTTGTCCAATGTGCTTAAAGGGTAGCGGCCAACTGCATGTTATGGATGGAAATTATAACTGATGGAGATGTTGCCGTTTTTGCAGGATCTAGTTTATGTAAACTTAACATGGCTTGGTTACTACAGAAAATGGTTACATATTTGTAGTTTCTCAGTCTACACACCTGTGGGCCCAAAATAAATATGACCTAAATACTGTGGAGAGATTTCAGCTGAAAACTGAATCCTAGATTACAGACACTAAACCTAACATCACAGCCTTGAAGAGACTGAATTGAAAAACTATTTACTAAGTCTCAAAGGGTAAAGTGCATTGCAACTATATCTACTTCAAGGGGAAGAAAATAAGGACTGCTACAAATGAGCAGCATGGGTAATGGGGACTACCCAGTATGTCTGCAGTGCACACAAAACAAGAAAGCATTATCCCACCTGAAAAATTTAAGAGGGTAAAAAAAATAGTCCTGGCAAATATGTCAGACTTGTTAATATAGTTAAGGTTACAGAAAGTTGAAATTTCTCAATTCTGGGGACCAGAGCTAAGAAAACAACCCCTATAAAGTACTGTGAAACTTGCAACATTAAAAAAAAATACTCTGAGCATCCCTTGTATCTGAGACCAGAATAGACATAGGCCAGCACACGAGAACTAAGGAGGGACGTGGTTGGTGGCTGTAATTGCAACAGGTCACTCAGGATCTACCTGAAGTCTCTGTTCCCCTATTTGTCAACTAAGAATACTGTCTCCCTGCCTCAAGGGTGTGTTTATTCACAGGTCCAATTAATTAGTATTTCTGAAACACCCACACCATACAGATGAGAACCAAGTATTTCTAGGCAGCTGGTTAGATCAAACACACTTGCCTCTAAACACATGCTGAAGCATTAGTTCAGTTCACAAATTAAAGTGAGCTCCAAGCTAAGAGCCAGAATTACACCAGTATCATTAACCTACTACTTATTTTGCAATATCTGGTAATTTCTCTTCCGTATAGACCAAGACTGGTCCATAGCATAGGGTGAGGCAATGGCAAAGATGAGAAGGAGCACTAGCACTGCAGACCTGTAAAATGTTTCACTCCAGACCTTCTTGAGTACCAAGGTCTCCCCACAAGTCAACACGTCTATCACAAGAGCATGCATGGGTTGACCATGAAATTATTAACAAAGTGGTTTTTTTTAAATCTTATTTAAGTTCCTCACAATGATCTCAATGACTCCCATATTTTACTTCTGCAAATTATTTTCTTTGTGCATCTGGTATTTCAGTACCATACAGTCTGTAAAAAACAATGACAGTCAGAGTGTAAAGGTTGCCTGGTATCCGTTAATGGTGTGACAAGACACGTGTTTCAGGTGCTATTAGTGCTGCCACTAGTAAAGTGAGAGAAGACCAAAGAAAAAGTTAACAAAGGAACAGGGAACACACTCCAATTTAAAAGACAGAAAATAATCGTAGTTTGTTTGTTACAAAACTTGAATTCAAATATTGCATGAAGAACCTTAATTATTTTACATATCTCCAAATGGCTTTTCTTGCATGTTTTTCTCACTCACAGTTTAAGGGTTATTTTATATCACACCAGTTCACAGAAGTGTCATTTCCTTTGCAATCACAGGCTCAAGATTAATCTCCTCTGCTGCTAGTACCAAGGTGCACCTGCAATACTGCCAGAATTCTAACATTATTCAGAGTATTAGAAAAACAACAAAACAAAGAACTTCTGCTAAGGGTGCATCTGGCATATTCAACAAACAACATTCTACCTGGATGTACCTGTTACACTAAGCAGCCATCACTGAAACCAAGTTCACCAACTGCAAAAGGAAAAGAAGTATGCTCGTAGATAATACTACCCTCAGATAATTCACTACATATCTTTCTAAATTATACTATCAACTATGGATGCACACTGCTAGGATGTACAATTTTCTATAAAGAACTATCAAGTCCAGTACCCTGCCTCCCGTGTAACCTGTGACTGATGCGTTAGAGGAAGACAATAACTGCATAATAAACCTTTCCAGTTGTGCAATCATGCATGTTGCTGGAGAACTGGGATATCTCTGTCAGGCATAAAAACGTAGAACACTGGACAAAGACAACCATCTGACCTTCAAGAGTCTTTCTTTGTCAAATGCAGAGAGTAAGACAAACACATAATGACCCTGAACAATAATTAAAGCTATGTACAAAATGTTGACCTTCAAAAACAAGACATTATGGAACAGGTAAAAAAGAAACACACAAATGCAAAGGAAGGAAGGCACACTGAACTAAGAAATGACAAGAGAGCCTTAATTCATATAGCAAATATGTGAATTCCTTCACAAAGAACCCCAAACAAACTCTAATGAGATTAAAGTTGTCAGATTTCACAGGGAACTTGATATACCACTGTGAATTCTCTTCTAGCAGAAGGAGCTTAAGGCTGGGTTTAGATGTGTTCATAGCTCTGATCAACTAACTTTGATGTAACCTCTCAAATATCACACAAGTTAAGAAAACTTCAGAATTAGAGGCCTTCTTGTCTATGTGGTCTAATAAAAAAAAAAACTAACAAAAAAAAACAAACACAAAACAAACAAACAAAAAAAGACAAAAAAGGTGTGGTGTTTATACCCTTTGAGATGAACCAATATATCTTGTGAACGTCAAACCGAGTGAGTTAATGCATTAACATACATTTCATTCTGGAGGAGCCACTTCAATGAGGAATGAACACAAGATATGTATTTTGAAAGATTAGGTTTACCTGCTAGTAATGCACATATCAAAGAGGCTTTAAAAAGTGTTATAAATGTCATTAACGAGTATAGGCACCAGACCAGAATATTTATAAATTCAAAACTGGCATGTCACTCGGAGTCTAATCAATTTAAAGAGGCACTGTGAAAGGTGGTGATGCTGCTATGCAGTAATTACTACTACTGTAGAATGAAATAGTGTTACCTAAATGAATACTTGCTCTACATTAATTCCCTTTAGTTAAACAAGTACATGAAGTAGGCAGAAAAAGTTCTATTAGTCTATAAAAGGCGTTAGTGTTAAGAAATGCAAAATACTTGCATCTTCAATTCTATAAACTTCACAAAAGGTGCAAATGATTTAATGCTTCCCAGGCTCACATAGGCAGGTCAGTACTGTTATGTCTAGTTTTCCTAGAAGTACCATCATCTCGGGGCAGTGCTTTTTGCAAGCTTGACATAGCAGCAGTTCTTTCAATGTCTATCACAGCATACAGCTCTGTGCGCCTGGTTGGAGTTTGCGGAAGTGGAGTGGTGGGGGTTTTTGGAGTCTGAGGGTTGTCGGAGTCACTACCACCTTCCAAGTCAACCTGTATGTAGTTGAGCTGCCTGTGTTCTAAACTTGGACGCCTAATGTCAAAGTTAAAGACTGTTGGGGTACAGTCCCGACGTCGTGTAAATTCTACTTTATGAGCACTTGCTGGTACTGTTACATTCTCTGTATTGACATAATTATGCATTGGATCTAGGTTATTGTGGTAGCCATTTAGAGATGGGGTCTTTGGTCCTAAACTGTCATCTTCATCTCTACTCAGCTTGCGGGCTTCCCAAACAGGAGGCAAGGATGGCAAGTTCTCATAGTTCAACAGCGCAGTTCTCCTCTGAGCAGAGTTGTTAACATTCTGGGTGTCTGAGGTACTGGTTGATGTCAAACGACCTCTCCTGACCCCTGAGGCACTAGGGATTGATAACCTATTTATGTTTTCATACACCAATTTACTACCAGATGGCGTTTCTCTGCGTTCATCACTGTCATACCCAGTGTCCCATTCAGTATTGTTTGTGCTGCTGCCACTAACTTGGTCTCTCCCAAGTTGCTCCAGTTTCTCTCTTTCCATTAATTGTCTTTGAACAGGTGTTGGTCCTAAAACAAACTTGACTCCTTCAGGCTCCAGGAGAACCTGAGCATCTCTGTCATCAGTACACATCTGATCCTCTTTTGCTTTTGCTGTTTCAGTGTTTGAAAGCTTTGATTCCAATGGCGCATGCACACTTGATCGACTTTTTCTTTCCTCTTGTACCCCAGTAGTGTTGACGTAAGTGTGCACCTACAAGGGGAAGAAAAAACAAGTAACTTCAAATGCTATTCATGCCTTTTCTCCCCCTCCAAATTTCTTTCTAAGTCCCTGCTTTTCTAATCAAAATACCAGAAAAGCAAATCTCATGATAGCAGCTGTTTAACAGCAGATGTCATATCTTTCACATGTTGCTGAACTGTGCTGTTTTAGGGTTTTTTTTCCTTGTTGGTTTTGTTGATGTTACTCTAACAAAAGAATAGAACTTACACCTAACACTAATGATTATTTTGATTTCGTATTTTACCTCAATTTTGCTCTAGTTAAAGCTTTTAATGTTCTATTCCAGCTCTGCTCTGGTCAGGGCAAGCTTGAGCTGCTCCAACTTAGCTCATTAGTTCAAACGAACAAATCAGTGAGCTCTGCTGTCCCTCACTATGGCAGTGACCAACAGTTCAACAGTTGCTTTAGATAAATTTATCTTTGTAATTTCAACACTGCAAAGGAAATGTAACTAACACACCCACCCACGCCATCACCCCTAGGATCAAGCCATGCGTACTACTCAAGCAATGAGAAAAGAGGCTGGCTCTACTGGAAAAACAGTCCATTCTTTCTTCAAGAGCCAACAGTCTCCTAAAACCAGAAACTAATGGAGAAAAATACACAATTCCATATGAACCGTGGCACTCAATTAGAAACAAGAAGGAGTTGGCACTGAATGCCACTAAGAAAGGCAGGAATATACCAAGTTCCCACAGTGGATCAACACAAGGCTGAACGGGAATGACTGAAGTAATGGATTCCTTCTCTAAATTTTAATTCTGTGTCTGGATACCCAAACAGCAAAAGCAGTATTTGACAGCAGCAGTCATCTAGCCGTCCCTACTTCTCTGTTAAGCTCTACAAGTTGAAGTGTTATTTACAGCTCACTTGACTCCTACACTCACTGCTTTCTCTTAAACTCATTTCTCTTCAACAGCTCCAACAGCAACACTTGGACTCTTCTGTGGGGGCTCTTAACAAATCCTTCCCACAAGATGTTTCATTGCACTTGGTTCCAGTTACCTTCTCTGATTTCCAGCATTGGTTCTTGTGATACATATATTCCTAAATCCCACCACAAATTTTATTAAACTTGACTAATATTTTCAGCAACAATCTGAATGAGGAGACAGAACACACCCTTCTGGAAGTTTTCAGTCTATCCCAGAATGGTAGAGAGGGATCTCAGCAGAACTGACCTCATAGAAACCTCATGAAGTTCAGCAACAGCAAATGGGAAGTCCAGTGCCTGGCAGGGAACAACAACTATACCACAAGCTTGGCACCAACTTGAAAACAGCCTTGCAGGAGAGCACTGGCAGTCCAGGTGAATGGTAAGTTGAATGTGAATCAGCAGTGTGCCCTTGCAGCAATGAAAACCAAATGTGCATTGCTTTGTGTTAGCAAAAGAACAGCCCAGTAGGTTAAGGAAAGTGATTTTTACTGTCAATCCAGCACTCGTGAGACTGAATCTGGGCTCCCCGGTACAAGACAGACATCACCACACTGGAAAAAGTCCAGTAGAAAGCCATGTTTAGAAAGGCACATGACATACAAGGAGAATTGCAGAGCACCATCCTTGTTCAGTCTTAAGGCCAGAAAACCACCTAACAGCTGTTTTCAACTTCCTAAGAGGTAAAGAAAAAGACAGAGCCAGACCCTTTTTGAAGCTGTTCAGCAAAAGGCTAAGGGGCAATGAGTTACCAGGTGTAACAAGAAAAAAATCCATTGACATATTAGTGAGAAATGCTTTCATAACAAAGGTGGTGAAACACTGGCTCAGAGTGTTGTAGAATCCCCTTGGAGTATTCAAAGCATGACAGGACAAGGCTCTGTGCAGCTGCCTCTAACTTTAAGATTTGATCTAGAGGACTCTAGCGGTCCCTTCTAACCTAAATTATTCCACAATTTCTATTCAGCAAATAGAAAACTTAAATGTAAAGCAGCTTCTTGACCAAGATCTCTCATTAGAAAGTACAACTCAGGTGGTGTAAAAAATATTTACTGAAATTTTTGAGTATATGCCAATACATACTTTCTGTATCTTTATTAATATATAAGATGAGCAACTTAAAGCAGTTACTTTCCTCCACAAGCTATCCTACAAAGTGTCATTTTAAAAAGGCAAAGCAAACACTTTTTTGAGGCAGTTAATATATGGTAGGAATACATTACACCCTATACTGAAAAACACAAATGAAAGCCTAAAGAGCAAGCATTAGAAAAATCTGAACTAATGCAGAACCTAACTTACATAAAAGGAAAAAATACCCACTTGCTCCTCTGCTACAAGTAAAGGATGCGTTGATTCTTCACCAACAGAGGGGAGGCGTGCACTTCCGACAGAAGGATGTCTGCTGGAAGGATGTGATGAAGCATCTCCAAAAGATGGATATCTGGGATAGCCATTAGGTAAACTTTGTGCATTGAACCCAGGAGCTGATTCAATTAGAAAACAAGTAAAGCCATATTAAAATAGAACATTTTACTGTATATGAGTAAGATGCTTTGTATCTTCATTTTCGATTTTCAAAGGAGAAATTAAAATATGTAAACCAATGTTAAACAGTCACAAGGGGAATTGCTGGGGGAGAGGAAAGGAAAAGCAAATTGGAGAGTACAGCATCCCAGTATTTACTGAGAAAAATCTCTGAAGCAACCACTGAAATCCAGGTGTATTACACATCACAGTTCCCCCAGTAAACTCCCTATCCAACTTCTCATTTTACATTAACATGTCTCCTTAACAAACAGTACACATAATAATAAGCTTCTATTTCCCTGAAATCATCAATAACCTGGAATTCCTAGTTTCAAATATCAAGCCATCTGTCTGAGATTACTTAAAATCCTCTGGTATTTTTGAAAGGACTCCACCCATCTATCTACTCACAGCAAAATAAGTATTACAAACCCACTGTAGATGTGATATTACCATTACTTTTTCCCCCCTAATAAAAAGGTTGGAACATTACCCAACATTAACATTTCTCAGAAATGCTGCAAGTAAAATATGGTGACGTATTATAAAGCAACACTGCTTCAGTGTTCATACCCATACACCTATTGAATTGCTTTGTAATGCAACACTGCTTCAGTGAAGCAGTGTTCTTATGAAACAACCAAGTTCCCAAAACTTGTTTCTTAAAGCTGAAGAACTTGAGCATGGCAGTTTTGTTACCAAGACTTAGGATTCCCTAAAAAAATCCTCAGCAAGTACCTCAAGAGAATGCATTACTGGTACTTAGCCTCTTAGCTTTAAATTGGTTTTCTTTTTAATTACTTAAAGATTTAATGAAAATTAAATGCTATTTTCAGCTAAGCACCACATTACATTCAGGTACGTCATCTGATAGTATAACCATACTTACTGGTAGGTGTTCGAGGGGTTCTTGGAGCTTCCAACTCAGTTTGATGATTATTCCTTTCTACTACTGGTTCTTCTACCACATTTATGCTATTATTCTGCATTATCTCTTGCAACATATTAAATAGCTCTTCTGCACGGGCACATTTAAAGGCAAAGATTCCTATAAATACACAAGGAAAAAATCAAAATCCTTTAACTTAAAGAAACATGTCTTACAATGTATGTAACTTTCAAAAAAAACAGAACTGGAATCCATGGAATGAATACCTGCCAAAGAAACAAAATGTTAAGAAACTTTTATTGCACCAAAATACACAAATTACTGTAAAAACCTTAAAAGTGTTTATCTAATAGAAGAGTAAGATTCCCATGCACCAAAAGTTCAGTTAGAACAGAAAACTGGTTCAGATAAGAGCAAACTAAGTTTTGAGTGCTAAATGAGGGGTTTAAACAAAACAAAACACACAAAGCAGGGCAAGGTTTTTTCTTTTTTTTTTTTTTAAGCTGAGAAAAAGGATACCTGTTTGATAAATTAATTAAAAAACCCAAAACACAACTACTAAATGAAACTACTGTGGTGTTACACAGTCATATTTTTTAAATCAGGTTTCTATTAAATTACCATAAAAATAAGATCCCTGTACAACAGCAAAGAAGAATTTAAACATTGGATAAAAGTTTGGTTTCTTTGAAAGGATTAAAATGAAAAGCTAGTAAGACAAACTGTGTGAAACGGACAGTAACAAACCAATTGCTTTAGGCTAAAGGATAGACACAGAAAACAAAGTTAGCAGCAATACCATGTCTTTTGCGTGTGTATTGTGCCACTTTGCCTTTAAACAGCAGGGAGCGCCCCAACTTACCATCACCAGCAAAGTCGCAGCTTTGGATTATTCTTCCATTGAAAGCATGAAGTTAAAGTTGACATGCTTGTTAAACGTGGGTGGGTTGCTCATTTTTTAAAGTGAGTATTACAATCTTAAAACACTCTACTAAAACTACCTACCTAAATAGCTAGTTCTGTAAGTACAGTTATGGTAATACACTGGCAATTACTATCAAAATATATTTATTTAAGGACAGAGAACTGTGACATCAGAACTACCAGAAAGGCTCCACATGGCAGAAGTTCACAAAACCCCAGCTGGGAATATATCAAATGGACTTAGAGGAATGACACTCCACAATTAATATTCAGCTGCTGTGGTGAATAAGCTTCATGCTTGCAACACAGCAGCTGCAGAGCTGCTTCTCTACGCCATTTCTCCAACCCACGATCCAGTTCAAGTATAAACCATGTTTAATTTTTTACATATTTATGAAAATTCACACAAGATACTTAAATCTTAAGGGACAAAAAGTAAAATAAAATTGAAAAAAAAGAAAAAAATCTAGGTTCACAAACTTTAAAAAGCTCCCAGTATGTTTCTGAGAAATTCAGCTGTCTTTACCTATTTGTTTTAAAAAGTGCTTCCAAACTGCTGATTCCTTAAAGTAGGAGGTGAACCAAATTGGCACTGAAACTGCAAGCAAAACCAACCTGATGAAACCTTGATTTTTATTAAATATGTCCACATTAATACAATGTGATCTGTCATTTACGGAACACGGTGACACACAATCTCCCCCAAGTTTTCTACCCTTAATTATCTATTTAGGTGCACTCCCAAAACTTATCAATTAATATAATTTGAGATTAAATGGAAAACACAAACGAGAATATCAAGTAATGCAATCAGTAAAAGTTGCTGGGCAATATTCAGGGTATACTCAAATGAAATTCTTGGTCATCTCACCAAGTGAAGTTTTGCAACTGTGCCCAGTGTAGGTCTCAGGAACAATGCTCCACTGCAAAAAAGGCAGCAGAGAGAACATTTTCTGGCAGATTTCTTTTTTCTCAATACTCACAGACTTTTAATATTACATAAGGAAGGCAAGAAACAAAAGAGGGAGGAAAGGGCTGCTGCTTACACAGGCTGCTTAATCTTCTCTATTAAAAATTAATATAGGAAGCTAGCAGAAAAGTCATTTAGACTTTGGTGGAAAATTGTGCACATTTGCTAACAGGCCATGGGAAAGAACCTCTAAAATAATATTTTCAGTTTAATTTTATCTATTTTATGTATTTAGAAGCAGCAGTAAATTAAATCTGAAAAACTAATTAAAGTGATTTCCTTCAAGACAAAGTTTATCACTTGCTTCAAGGAGCCTGAGAATTTAGGTCAGTATGGAGTGTGCTGTAACATTTGAAAACATCTCCGTTTCTCATTAGGAAATAATCTGAGAATACCCCAACTGTCTGCTCTTACCTCTGCTTGGACAAGGAAGACTGAATGGTAAACTTTGTTTATGATCAAGTTCTTTCATCTTACTGATTTTTTACAGTCAAATTTTAAGAAGGTGCAATTGCTAAATATCATTATTGATAAAAGCACTACTAAATGCTAAAAATCTGTAAGAAAATGAAAACACAACTTAATTTCACAAGATACGAATACGTAAGAATTCCAACTACACACAGCTACATTCCAGTGGAAAGATGCAAAACGAGGCCAAAACCACTATACCCTTGGGGACTGCTGCAGTGAAGAGAGAAAAGCCTAAATCTTCTCACTGGGAGCCAACCTTGGCAAAGGCAGGCATGATCTGGGAACTGCAAAGGTAACCATCTTTTCCAATTAAAGCCACATAGAAAATAACTAACTGAGCATAACTGGAGATTACACTTCATACAAATAATATGAATTTGAAAATGGCATCACTGATATAAATGGAAGTGGCATTTGTTTTAGGAAGAGGATGAAAGAAACACAAGTGTGTTACTGAAGACAATAACAGAGTCAGGATATCCAGTTCATATCAGTGCTCCAATCTTTTAAAAATCTAAAAATTGAGAATTCTTTGAATTCCAAGGAGATTCCTCCACAGTTCGTTTCACTGCCCTTCTCTGAAGGTCAAGTCAGCCTCTGAGATAGAAGGATTTCCTTGCCAAAAACACCTCCTAAGTTGATGAGAGCTATCCAGACCTACAATGCCAAAAACTGTGTAACTGAAATCCTCATTTTACCGTAAGACCATTCCTCATAAGGTAACACACTTTCTTACCCCAGAAACCACCTTCCCATATAAAACTATAGCCTTTAGAACTCTTGCCAAAGGACAGGCAGATATACTTTTTGTTTGGGGGATGGGGGGAGAAGGAAGGGAAGTGTCATCCAACATCAAATAATTTCCAAAAAGCTTTTAATACCAAAAGATCACATACCTTGTCCAGTTTGACACCTTCGGCCACTTTCAAAAGAGAAAAGATTTGAGTCATAGCCATAGCGACGGAGACAGAGGTAGTGCCATTTTACAGAGTCCCTTTTACGGGTGTACAAAATTAGTTCTGTATCTGTAAGTTCCATTATGCCAGAACCCAGTTCATTACCATCATCATCGACATTAATAACCTATAAAAAAAGAAGTTAAATAGCATTAGGTCAGTACTGTCTGAACACCAATACTACTACTACTAATGTTTCCCTGATAATGCTCCACCTGCTCTGTCATACTGGTTATGATCCTTGAGGTAAAAGTTAAAAACACAAAACACCTCATCAAACCAGTTCCTTTGCTTCCCCCACCCAGAATTAAAAGTAATACATATTTAAAAGCAGTTTGAGTAAGACTACATGACATTACTGTAAAATCCAAGGAGAAATTTAAAACACAAGAGATTTGTAAGTTTAATTTTTTTAAACTGGCTTTATGTACATGTTCTAGTGTTTTCATCCAGATAAGGCATACCTCAGATAATGAAATATTTTTAGAGACCCATTTCTGAAAAAACATTTGATTTGTCATATAACCCCACTTAAAGTTGGGTAAAGGAATGAAAAAGATAAGCAGCTCCAAGATAAAGCTTCCTTCACATACGTGTGTAGCCTTGCACTGTGCTGAATCACCAGACTGGTTTAGACTTTTTTATGCCTTTTCAAAAAAAAACCCCAAATAATTCAAATATCCTATGATTACCTTGTGTGAAAATGTGTACAAAGATTAAAACCCTTTTTTTCTGCTTTTAAACCGGTTTGAGGTCATCTGCATCCTTTAGGCAATCTGGACAATGTCTATTTTCACAGACTCATAGAAATGGTTTGGGTTGGAAGGGAGCTTCAAAGGTCATCTAGTCCAACACCCCTGTATGGACATCTTCAATTAGAAGATTCCTCTGCATTTATTTTATCTCACAATACTGCTTCTAATGGGATTGCGTCTTACTCAATAAAAAGGCTACCAAAAAAATCTTCCCTATGATATTGATGAATGTTACTCCTTAAAGAGAGATTTTCAAGTTGGAATCTAGTCAACTGAAAAGAATTAGGAATAGTTAAATCTGCCACTGAGGCTTATGCCAACTTTCTTCATTTTACAAATTACATGCTTGCATCTCCTCCCCCTGCTGCTAAATCAGTGACCCACACAAACAATAGACAAATTCTATGAGGAGAAAAATAGGAACTAGTAACACAAAGTGATTGATGTCAAATGCATAAAAAGCAAGAAAACAGAAAAATATTTTATCCTTCAGCTTTTTCTACTGATAATATGAAACATTTCCAGAAATCCCATGGCTTTAAAGCTCATTTTGGTGTTGCCCTAAGGCAACTCATGAATAGTTTTTCCACTATGGAAGCATTACATTCCTTTGCCAACTCACAGAGACAGTCTGGAGCACAGAAGCAAATCTGACTTGTGTGACTATGCAAAGGTATGTTTACTTAAAGTCACTGACTTCAGCAGCTTCATATTAAGCATGTTAAACATATGAACAAGTGTGACATAAGCTTATAAATTCCAGGGATACGAGGGACAGAAGCACATTTATAAATAAAATTTCTTAAACGACAAAATAAAAACTTTTTATTATCCTGACAAAAATACTGCCATTAGTAGTGGGCTTCAAAAATTTTCCATTGCTGACTCCACATACAGGTTCACAATCACACTTCTCCAACAGATCTTCCCTTACGCTCACAACTCCCCTCCTAACTTCCATAACCTCACAGAAGCAAAAACATTTACTAGGGCCCTACCAACAAAAGCACAGGACTGCTGCTCTTTCCTGAAGATCAAAACTGTCACAAAAAAGCCTACCCACCTAGAGAATTCCTGTCACTGCTGGTAAGAGAGGATTTCTCAAAGGGGCAGTAGAAACCTGTAGCTATGGACACTTTCAACTCTGCAATGTTTTAACTGTTCAGTAATTCTCACCCTTTTTTTACTTAATTTTTTTAAGAAAAAAATAATTACCTGCTCTGCAAGAAAGCAACAAAATAATTAAGAACGTATCACATCATTTGCTTACCTTAAACTTATTTCGATGGTTATCTGGGACAGTTTCTTTATCTGGACAGCTACAACAGCTACCCATGACTTCTTTAGAAGACCATGTGATCTCTAAAGGCGAAAAAAGACCCAACCAAACATGAGAAGTATCATTTAGTTGAAGAATAATTAGAGTATTATCAATAAAAACCCCAAACAAATTGCTCTTTGAAATGACAATTCTTCATGATGAGTTTTACAGTCATAAGCAATAAAAAAAAAACAAAAACAACATAAATATTAGACATATTTTTAAATAGTTAAATTAGATTTGGCATTTAGGAGTGGCAACACCGAGCGGTTAAAGTCCTACCAATAATTCAACTCTAGGTTACTACAAAACAGACCCATTTGATTTGTCACCTTAATTCCCATGGCAGCAGCTTGGGGAAAACAAAACCCAACAACTTACTGTGTGCAATTCTCATCTCTGGAACCAGGGCCTTTACACAGGGCAACTCTCTGGATTCCAGTTCTAAATGAGCACTCCCCAGCCGAGACTGCTGAGCACAGCCCTAGTGATGCCCATACAAGCCCTGGGCTGTGGGAAGTTACCAGGCAGAGGCAACACAAAGAGCCTGCATGGCAGTCCTGAAAGGCTGCCCTGGCTTCAGCAGCTCCAGGGCTGGCTTGCAAGAGAGAATGGAGGCATTCTAAGCCTGGAGGCAGCCCTGTGCTGGCAGCAGTGCAGCGAGCCTCTGTGCTTCACATTTAAATACTTCCCATATAGCAATGTACATAAAACTATGCAACCAAAGTCAAGGGAAGGAAAAAAACCCACATTCAACACAAATATTTCAAAACTTGAAGGTTTTTTTATTTCAGTTCTATTTGGATTGTGTTACAGAGTCTACTTCATTTGCTATAAAACTCTAAAATATTCAACTAACCTAAAATAAGGAAATAAAAATATTTGGCATTTAAATGTTTTCATTTAAATATTTTTCTATGTGTGGTAGAACTTTCATAAAACAATGATAAAATGTTCATAGAACCAAGTCTCACAACAACCTTCTCCTCCCTCTACCACCTTGCAGAATGGGTGGGAGAGGGTATTAAATGGGTATTTAAGAATGAGAGTCAGACAAAAGAAACCTTGACTATTTACCTCATCTTTACACTGGGTAAGAACTAGAATTTCCACTACAAAAATGAAAAGTGGGGCAAAATCCTGGAAGAGTAAGTCAACACAAGATATGCCATTAGGAATCAAGAAAGAGGAACTGGTTGGTAACTTTGCCTGACTAAAGGGGAAAAAAATCTGATGTCACCTTAATAAGACTGAGACATGCTTTCTAGACAGGCATTTGTATTAGCATGCAGAAGTAGTACCCCAAGTAGCACTTTAGTCTGCTGAGAAGTAAGGTGCAAGAAACACAATGAAGAGCGGATAACTCTTCCACTCTTCTTGACCAGAAAACCCACTCAAAAGAGATACTGCTATCCTAGAGACTGTATAAATCTGCCACTAAAGCCCTGAAGAGGTGAAATGGAGAATTTAACATAAAAGGTAACAATATGGCTTGGATTAATCCCAATAAGAGGCAAAGTGCCAGACACACAGTCAAAATCATGGATTCTCTACTGTCATTTCTGGCTGTAACACCAAAACATGCATTAATTTGATGGAGCTTTTTTCCCTCCGCTCAATATGAAACTGGGGAGTTGATTGCTTGCTTGTACTGTTAGAGAATGAAGCTATGCTACACACAACTGATTTTTGCATAGCAAAGTCCTAAATCTTTTTCATCAGTCAAATCACTCAATTACAGACTATTTTTAACAGTCTTCACACATACATGCCATAGTTAGTTCAGCAAAATTTTTACTTCTGAATTCTGCCTGATTTGTTTAGAGAGGGAGATACAGGTAATAAAACCTACTACTAATTTCCTACCCTGCACTCCACAATGCCTCACTACAGTAATGTTCACGTTGTTGGTCTTGCTAGCCTATTGATGGTACCCTACTCATGCTGAGAATTCACTGCTAAAAAGAGCAACAAGTGACAACAGCTGCAATGCAGATTCACAATGAATATATAAATTTGCAGCAAAAGTTTTCAAGCTCTGGTCCATACAGCAGTCATAGCTGTAGATGCTTCTAGCAGCTTTCAGGCACAGATAACTTGCACTTAATAAAGCTCAGTGTTAGACCTCCCCAAACATTTTGACAAAGTGGAAACAGAACTAGACAGTAGCATGCTGTTTTAGTATCATGACTTTCTCGGCATTCAGCATAAAACAGCTGATAAAATCTGTTGTAGGCAGGTGCTTGCAAACTTAAAACAATTTAAAAAATCCTTAACTGCAAAATAGTTTGGAATAAATCACTAGAGTTGCAAGCAGAAAGCTTGCAATAAACTATATGAAATTGTATGAAGTATGGCCACTGTATCTCAAGAAAGACAAAAAGAAAGGGTAGGGTCTTGATAATTATGTAAGCTTGTTACTTTGTCTCCAATATATTCTGATATTAATACTTCAGAAAATCAAGAACTGCAATGTTGGTTCAAAGAAGAGATGTAAACTAAGGCTACGAGGAATAAATGAAACAGTTAGGGAACCAGCAGAATTAAAAATCACTCACCTAGATTTGGCCATTAATATTCCCAGCCTCTCCTGCAGCATCAGGGCTTCTGTCATACTCAAAGTGTCATGCTGCCTTGTCACAGAACTAATCATTTGACCTAGAACTAGAAGAGTACAGAGAAATGTAATTTTTCTGGGTTTTAAGATACAAGTTAGTAAATAGCAAAAATACGTACTTTAAAATTATTTTGGCAGTATTATGTCAAGTGAGGTATTGCTGGCCAGGATGCATCTTAAGTGGAATTTTAAACAAGAGACTGATCTCTCAGAGCTTCCCCAGCATTTCAGTGCCTAGCTGGGTCTTGGAAGAAAATCACCTGGTGTCCCTTTCTGCATTGTCACCTATAACACTGGGGACTCCACTCATTCCCACTCACTGCTTACCCAATTCAGTGTGTGGAAGTGACAGATATGAAGCTCCCATTATCCTTAGCACATACTGACCCAAACCACAGGACACAAACAGAAGGAACACATACAGCCTCCTCTGCCTAACTCCCTCTTGCTTATCCTACTGAACACACACAAATGCTGACTTGTATGGCTAACACTGCAGCACTGGTAAATGCAAAATAACGCAACTAGCATAGGAGCTCTATTTGGTAGGAAAAACAGTCATGTAGTCACACAGTTCAACAAAACACTAGCTCAGTAGCTATCATAAAGCAAATGAAACAATTGTTTGAAAAGAACTCGAAGAGCCAAACCAAAAATACAATTCTACTGTATGCATCCCCAGTGCACCCACAGATGCAGTAAGGTATGCAATCATGCCTTCCCCTGTCAAGAAAAGCAGGGTAAAACCAGAAACATAGTGCTTGGACTGCTCAGCCTGGAAAAAGGAGCCACAGAGGTTAGAAAAGATGAGTACAGAATCATAGGTGACATGGAGGAGATAAATAAAGCACAAGTACTTTCCAAGTGCAAGCATTAGGAAGCAGCAGTGGACACTATTAAGAGGCAGGGTCAAAAAAAAAACACAGTAGTTTTGCACATGGTATGTAATTAAACTTTGTGATCCACAACATATTGTGGGAATGAGTTCCAGAAATTTAAAGACTCAGAAAGTAACTGGGGAAACACAAGCTCCATGAAGAGCTTGTAAACTCAAGGATGTCACATCTGGCTCAAAAAGCCTATAAGCTGCAGATATTTAGAAGGGTCTTAGAACACAGACATGCTCCTTCTTACTGTTCCCTTATATTTAATATTGGCTGTCAGAATTCACTATTTACTGTCAGAAACAGGATACCGGAGACACTTGTATTTCACGTTTGATCCAATAAAGCTATCCTAGTTAACACTAAAGGATGACATGGACTCAAGGTAAGTTTGATTGTACTTCAGTAAGACATTAAAAAAAAAGAAATAACCAACTTGTATTTAACTTGAAACTAAACCCTAGATTTCACAACGGTAGAGGGCTAAACTTACTGAACTGCTTGACAGATATGTTATTTTGCATACACATACTACACATACAGATTCTCTGCTGTGCATAAGTAGTATTTAGTACCAGGAACTTGGAGCAAGTCACATATGCTTCCTATAATTTATTTGCCCTTTAGCCATAAGCTTTCTTGATCTTGGACAAAATCATACACAGTTGTATTGAAGATCTGTCCCTCTGCAACATGCAGAGGGCTCTGGTTCTATGATGGCCTGACCCATCTAGCTGGTATTATTTAACTGTTTTTTGGTCAGGTTACATTTTTGTTGGCTCAACATACCAGACCAGCTCAGCAGAGAGCCTAGCAAGTGCCAGAGCCAGCTGGGGACAGAATCACAGCATTAGCCATCTCTGCCCAGTTTTCAGAAAACTTAGCTGCTGCACTAATGACTGGGATTTACTTAGTTTACCGAATTCCCTGCTAAAAATCTTTAGGATGGGAGAAAGGAAAGAGGGAGCAGAAAGCTTTGCACACACATGCACCCCACTCCAGTGGAATCTTACAGGTAGTCATTAGAAAAATAGTAAAATTAAAACTTTTCACAGGCAAGCTACACTCATGCAGGTGTGTTTGCACAGGTATTTACCCTGATATTTTTCTAGCAGAGTTATAAAGCCTTCACATGGTTTGGCTACCCAAAGCAGAGGAGCCTATTTTCAGTTACCCAAGAATGATACTTCAAGTGATCTAAACAGAGATTTTAATGGATAAAAGAAAGCACACAAATTTACAGCACCTAACTTCTTTTAAACGTAAAGGAATAGCAAAATTCTCCAACCAGTTGTTTCCAATTACAAGTTGGCCATTTACTGTTTGTGATTTTCTTAAATCTTCCCAGATTGCAAAATATTTACCCAAACTTAAACATACAAGGAGTAGACATTTTCACAGCCACAACCCTAAAAGTTAATCTTTTCAGTTATGTCTAAAATGTCAAATTTAGGAGCTGTAATTTCCCGTTCACAAAATATCAGTGGTGGTTGGGTGCAGTCATGCAAGGAGGGGGAAGGGGTGAGTATTTTCTGATTCTCCCCAACACATTCATTACTGCTCTACAAGGTAAAATCCCAGGCAAGACAAACGAGGACCAGCGCTTATCTACACCTTGTTAACAGAGTTAAAGTTAGGAACTGCCATAACTTCAGGAAGATTTATTACTTGGCTCTGTAAAGTGAACCATGTCCTTTTCCCTCAAAGAACTACGCATCGGCAACAAGTTATGCTAATCTGAAAAGTCAAAGAAGACAAAGTATCAATGTAAATACAGTAGATATTTTTTTAAAGTTGTATGCCAAAGCTTGGGGAAATTCGGACACTTGCAATTGTGCAATGTCCCCAGCTTGGGAATCGTCAGAACATACGTGTTTCCTTCATGTAAGAAAAGCCACATGGGCAAGCTGCAGTCATATTCCTCCTTTTGCTCATGATAACTGGCTGACCCATTAAACTCTGCTCACTGTTGCAATGCCAAGGTAAAACCTGGCGTTAAATTAGCTCTGCATGCTCTGGTTGCAGAATCAAAGATTAACTTTGGGGGATATTTCAATTCCCAGCACACAGCTTTTAGAACTCAGGGAAGGAAAACTCCCAAACCATAGCATGGCCCAGAAGAAGTATGGAGAAGCAAAGATGCCTTGTCTGTAAATCCATTTTTTTGCATGAATTCTTTTCAAATGAAAATGTGATCTTTCAAATCACTAACTACCACAGTGCTAGATCCTCTGTATGTCTTGCTCTTACACATACAGGGAGAGTGCAGAAAACATAACCATAGCACATTAACATAAAGTGTTTTGTACCACAAAAGTGTAGTTTAAAAAAATTTGGGCTTTTTTAAATTGGGGCTTCAGAAATTTTAGTATCTAGAAAGGCCAATGAGTACAATGGAGTAACTGGAGAAAGATGCCTGTGTACAGGTTGTTAGCACTCAGGCTGACAAGCACTTGAGTGTATTCATTCACATATTATCAAGCATCAAAATATCATTTTGATCACAGCTAAGCAATAGAAATACACATTTAGAACATCATTTTTGTCTATAATATTCCAACTTTCCAATTTAGAAGACTACATACACTTTTAAATTTAAAGTGTCATCATCGACCATTTTCGAAGACTGTTTCTCATTTGGCCTAAGCTATGTAGAAAAAAATAAATAAATCAAATGTACATACATGTATGTAAAAGGACATAATCCCAACTACTAGAACACCAAACTCCTCTGCACTTTTATTTCCTACTCATTTAAAGTATTTACTGAAAAGGTAGAGTAAAAGGAAGTATTACCAAACACTCTACATTTAACATCAATTTCTGTGGAAATAAGTCATTTGGAAACACGAGATACACGTATGAAAAGGCAACTATTATTATTTTAAAAAATAATTATTCTGCTAAACCAGTATTTGAGGGAGTAAGGCAGTTGAAAAATGGCTAGCATCTTTTCTTCCTAATTTCTTAAAACTTAAGACCTTAAAACATCTCATTCCTGCTGAGAATTTCTGACTGGTCACATAGAATCATAGAATAGTTAGGGTTGGAAAGGACCTTAAGATCATCAAGTTCCAGCCCCCCTACCAAGGGCAGGGACACCTCACACTCAACCATATCACCCAAGGCCTCATCCAACCTGGCCTTGAACACTGCCAGGGATGAAGCATTCACAACCTCCCTGGGCAACCTATTCCAGTGCCTCACCACCCTTACAGGAAAGAATTTCCTCCTTATATCCAATCTAAACTTCCCCTGTTTAAGTTTTAACCCATTACCCCTTGTCCTGTCACTACAGTCCCTAATGAAGAGTCCCTCCCCAGCATCCCTATAGGCCCCCTTCAGATACTGGAAGGCTGCTATGAGGTCTCCATGCAGCCTTCTCTTCTCCAGGCTGAACAGCCCCAACTTTCTCAGCCTATCTTCACACAGGAGGTGCTCCAGTCCCCTGTCCCCACATCCTCGTGGCCCTCCTCTGGACTTGTTCCAACAGTTCCATGTCCTTTTTATGTTGAGGACACCAGAACTGCACACAATACTCCAGGTGAGGTCTCACAAGAGCAGAATAGAGGATCACCTCCTTTGACCTGCTGGTCACACTCCTTTTGATGCAGCCCAGGATACAGTTGGCTTTCTGGGCTGCAAGCGCACACTGCCAACTCATTCATTTTCTCATCGACCAGCACCCCCAAGTCCTTCTCCGCAGGGCTGCTCTGAATCTCTTCTCTGCCCAACCTGTAGCTGTGCCTGGGATTGCTCCGACCCAGGTGTAGGACCTTGCACTTGGCATGGTTAAACTTCATGAGGTTGGCATCAGCCCACCTCACAAGCGTGTCAAGGTCCCTCTGGATGCCATTCCTTCCCTCCAGCGTATCAACCGAACCACACAGCTTGGTGTCATCGGCAAACTTGCTGAGGGCGCACTCAATCCCACTGTCCGTGTCAGCAACAAAGATGTTAAATAAGACCGGTCCCAACACTGATCCCTGAAGGACACCACTCGTTACTGGTCTCCAGCCGGGCATTGACCCATTGACCACAACTCTTTGTGTGCGGCCATCCAGCCAGTTCTTTATCCACCAAGTGGTCCATCCATCAAATTGATGTCTCTCCAATTTAGAGACAAGGATGTCGTGTGGGACAGTGTCGAACGCTTTGCACAAGTCCAGGTAGATGACATCAACTGCTCTACCCCTGTCCATCAGTTCTGTAGCCCCATCATAGAAGGCCACCAAATTGGACAGGCAGGATTTCCCCTTAGTGAAGCCATGCTGGCTGTCACCAAGCACCTTGTTGTTTTTCATGTGCCGTAGCATGCCTTCCAGGAGAATCTGCTCCAAGATTTTGCCAGCCACAGAGATGAGACTGACTGGTCTGTAATTCCCAGGGTGATCCATTTTCCCCTTCTTGAAAATGGGGGTTATATTTCCCTTTTTCCAGTCATCGGGAACTTCACCTGACTGCCGTGATTTCTCAGAT